CAAATCCACATATGTTAAAACTCCCAAATCTCTAAATTTGCATATCCTCACATGTCCAAACTCCCACATCTCCACATCCTCACATGTACAAACTCCCACATCCCCATATCATCATATGTTACAAGTCCCAAATCCACAAGTCTACATATGAAACAAACTCCCACATCCCCATATCATCATATGTTACAAGTTCCAAATCCACAAGTCTACATATGAACCAAACTCCCACATCCTCAAATCCACATATGTTAAAACTCCCAAATCCCTAAATTTGCATATCCTCACATGTCCAAATTCCCACATCCCCAAATCCACACATGTCCAAACTCTCAAATCTTCAAATCCCCATATGACCAAACTCCCACATCCCCAAATCTTCACATGTCCAAACTCCCACATTCCCAAATCCTCACATGTCCAAACTCTCAAATCGTCAAATCCCCATATGACCAAACTCCTACATCCCCAAATTCTCATATGTCAAAATTCCCACATCCCCAAATCCTCACATGTCCAAACTCCCACATCCCCAAATTCTCATATGTCGCAATTCCCACATCCCCAAATCCTCACGTGTCCAAACTCCCACATCCCCAAATCCCCAAATTCCTCAATCCTCAAATGTCCCAACTCTCAAATCCCGAAATTCCCAAATCTCCAAATCTTCAGATCTCTAAATACCCAAATACTCAAATTTCCAATTTCCAAACCCCCAAATATTTAAATTCCAGAATTCTTCATTTCTGAAATCCTCAAAACCCTAAATCCTCCTTCCAAATTTCCAAATCCCCATATTCTCAAGTTCCTACCTCTCCACCAAGAATCCTCACCCCTCCATATATTGCCGCCATCACGCTTCACCGCTAACACTTCCTGTCGCATTCTACCCATAATGAGATAAAAGTCCACGTAATTATTAGGTGTAACGAATATTTCGATCATCCGGAAGTAATTCGATTGTCAATTAGAGATCTGTGAATTGATCCATGAACATCGATGACACCTTTAGATCCGCAGCGAACGGATGACCTGACCTGTAACCTTCGTGAAATTTCGCAATACCGGGCATAAAATGATTAACACGCGTGGGAGCTGTGTGATTTAATTAAAGTAAATTCCGCGCTCTGCCGATACCGAGGGAAATTGGAAACGAAAGCGGAGACGGCGACATGATATTCCTCCGAGGTGGAAAATAAATTTCAGTTTTGTTTGGATCGACGTCTGTTTTAATTAGAATATAATTGGACGAACATAAATTGCTCGATGATTGAATGAAACAACTTCCTCTTGATAAACTTTTCTAAATCAACTACTCTATGGAACGTTGTGTAATTAAAAAAAATTTCAATTTGAACCGAATGTGGAACGATTTTATAATTAACTGGATGTTATTGAAATTGTGGATCGTTCTGAAACTTCGTTATTAGTGTGGTTAAAAATTGTAGTGGCTTTGAGCTTTTGAAATTTATAACATTGGAAATTGTTGGAAATTTATTGCTGCTAGGTTCTTCATTAAAAATTGTGAAATTTGTGAAATTGCAAATTTTTATATATTTATTGTAGCAATGTACTTTATTTAAAATTATAAAACTGTCAAATTGGTAAAATTTGTAAAATTGCAAATTTTTATAAATTTATTGTAGCAATGTGCTTTACTTGCAATTACAAAATTGTAAAATTTGTAAAATTTAAAAAATTGTAAATTGTCATAAATTTATTGTAGCAATGTCCTTTATTAAAAATTGTAAAACTGTAAAATTTGTAAAATTTAAAAAATTGCAAATTGTCATAAATTTATTGTAGCAATGTCCTTTATTAAAAATTATAAAACTGTCAAATTTGTAAAATTTAAAAAATTGCAAATTGTCATAAATTTATTGCAACAATGTCCTTTATTAAACATTGTAAAACTGTCAAATTTGTAAAATTTAAAAAATTGCAAGTTGTCATGAATTTATTGCAACAATGTTCTTTATTAAAAATTGTAAAATTGTGAAATTTGTAGAATTTAAAAAATTGCAAATTATCATAAATTTATTGTAGCAATGTTTTTTATTAAAAATTCTAAAATTGCAAAATTTGTAAAATTACTGAAATTATTAAAATTGTAAAATTTGTAAAATTACTAAAATTGTAAAATTTGTAAAATTTGTAAAATTACTAAAATTTGTAAAATTTGTAAAATTTGTAAAACTTGTAAAATTTGTAAAATTTCCAAAATTTCTAAAAATTGCAAATAGTTATAAATTTCCACTGCATCGTTCTCCATTAAAAATCGTAATATTTATAAAATTGCAGATTACTCTAAATGTCTCCAACAAAGCATCAAAAATTAATATTAAAATTTTGTCAACATTCACAACACCGTTTTCATCACAGTATCGTTTCGTCAATAAAAAATTTAATTTCCTACGAGTGTTCTTTTTGTCGGCGAAGAATCCGAGAGAATGGAACGCGGATAACGCGAACCGGCTTCCGTTTATTTTCCCGTGTATCATAAGGGACTTTTTCTACGATCCTTCTCAGAACCGATACTACGCTCGAATTTTGCGATCAAAGAGGAAGTTATACTCCATGCAACAGAAAAATAAATGTAGTTTGCATCGGCGTCTTTCCCTTCAGGTCCCCGTGGATCTCGTTTATTTTCTCTGTGTCGAACGAATTCATTTCTGTATCTCCATCTTGACTTACAATCGACTTCCGGCACTGCCTTACAGAATCGTTATTTCTTAAACAAATTACTTTTTCGGAAATATCTCGAGCTGTTTATTTTAATTAGACTGATTTATAAAATATTGCAGCTCGTTATTTTCGTTTGTGGTTCGTCAAAAGTAAAAACTAAAATTGTATCAACATGGACACGTTGATTAAATGATGTACTGAACAAACCATGTCGTTCTTTTGTTCATGAAGAAAATGAGATTCGGGTGCTATGTTACATTGAAATTACACTGAAAATTGGGGTACGTTAATTAGGTAATGTCCCTTGATAGTTACACTATTAAGTTTGGGAGTTAATTAGGTTAGGTTTACGCCGAACCGATTGAGCAGAAATTTTGAAAGAGAGAGCGTTTTGAGGAGAGCGATTGTACCGATGGAGTGGGGAGCTGGTAATATGGGCAATTAGGGAGATGGGAAATTTGCGAATATGGAGGGTTGGGAATAGGGAGATTGGCAAATATGGGGAGTTGGGAGTATGGGAACTTGGGAATATGGGGATTTAGGAGTGTGGGGAGGTGGAAATATGGGGACTTGAAAGTATTAGGACTTGGAAGTATTGGAACTTGGGGAAATTGGGACTTTGGAGTATTGGAACTTGGGAGAATTGGAACTTGAGAGTATTGGGAGTTGAGAGTGTTGGAACTTGGGAGTATTGGAACTTGAGAATATGGGGACTTGGTAGTATTGGGACTTGGGAGTATTGGAACTTGAGAATATGGGGACTTGGTAGTATTGGGACTTGGGAGTATTGGAACTTGAGAATATGGGGACTTGGTAGTATTGGGACTTGGGAGTATTGGAACTTGAGAATATGGGGACTTGGTAGTATTGGGACTTGGGAGTATTGGAACTTGAGAATATGGGGACTTGGTAGTATTGGGACTTGGGAATATTGGAACTTGAGAATATGGGGACTTGGAAGTATTGGGACTTGGGAGTACTGGAACATGGGAGTACTGGGACTTAGGAATATAGAAACATGGAAGTATTGGGACTTGGGAGTATTGGGACTTGAGAGTATTGGGACTTGGGAGTATTGGAACTTGGGGAAATTGGGACTTTGGAGTATTGGAACTTGGGAGAATTGGAACTTGAGAGTATTGGGAGTTGAGAGTGTTGGGAGTTGAGAGTGTTGGAACTTGAGAGTATTGGAACTTGAGAATATGAGGACTTGGTAGTATTGGGACTTGGGAGTATTGGAACTTGAGAATATGGGGACTTGGTAGTATTGGGACTTGGGAGTATTGGAACTTGAGAATATGGGGACTTGGAAGTATTGGAACATGGGAGTACTGTGGCTTAGGAATATAGAAACTTGGAAGTATTGGGACTTGGGAGTATTGGAACTTGGGGGAATTGGGACTTTTGAGTATTGGAACTTGGGAGAATTGGAACTTGAGAGTATTGAGAGTTGAGAGTGTTGGAACTTGAGAATATAGGGACTTGGTAGTATTGGAACTTGAGAATATGGGGACTTGGGCGTATTGGAATTTGAGATTATGGGGACTTGGAAGTATTGGGACTTGGGAGTATTGGAACTTGAGAGTATTGGGACTTAAAAATATTGAAACTTGACAGTATTGAGTCTTGGGTGTATGGGGAGTTGAGAGTGTTGGGACTTGAGAATATGAGACTTGGGACTTGTTAATATTGGAATTTATAAATGTGAGAATGTGGGAATATAGAGTTCCTGAAACATGGACACTCGAAAGTGATGAGACACCTACCTACGTTTAAAGCGAACGACCGAACCGACTAAGCGGAATGAGTCGCAACCCCAACAAAGGTCATAAAGCACTCTTCCATACATTCCACAGCTATTTCTAGTTACAATGAATGTACGTTACTTATTGTAACCTAACATTGCCACAACCCTTAATATTTTCAACACTGATTTCTTCTAAATGAAAGAATATTCTGGGCCGAAGAGATGAAAATAGAGTAAAACTTCTTCTTACGTCTTTATTAGGCAGGTGACAACCATAATAATAATTAAAAAACTACATTAGTTTAACAATTAAATTCGCAATCTAAATACTTGTTTAACCAATAAATCAGATAAGCAATCAGCAATAAATTCAGTAATGTAGATTCAGTCTAAAGATCGCGAATTTAATATATCTAAAATGGCGTCCAGTTTGCAAGAAGAAAATCCATGCCTGCATGTCCGTAGAGCGCAGCTTCAAAGGCTTCAACCGTCGACTTTATCATTAATTCCCCAATAACCCATAATTTTTACGCCGAGGGAAAACGTCTGATTGCGAATTTCCTTTTTGCAGCCATGGCGAGGACCTCATCGTCACGCCCTTCGCGCAGATCCTTGCCTCCTTGCGCTCGGTCAGGAACAATTTCCTGTCCCTTACAAATGTTCCCACGAACAAGTGAGTACCGTTAAACGTTATTAAAAAGTTAATTATAGTACCAGCTGCATCTTGATACGTTTCGATATTTTTCATCAGATCACGAAGGAGTAGCGGCGCACAAGGTAGCAGCACACCGCAACCACGGATTGTGGCACCTGGAGGTAAGGATTTCCTTTTGTTTCTACTGAAATAAAAGCTTGAGAGCTTGCTTTTATTTGATACCCGTTTTTCAGAGGAGAATTACATGAAACTGGCCGTCGAGACGATGGAGGAGCTGGACTGGTGTCTGGACCAGCTGGAGACCATTCAGACTCATCGTTCCGTGTCAGACATGGCCTCTCTCAAGGTAAGTTTCTTTGTTCCACGATTTTTCGAATCTAATTTCCTCGTTGGTGATGTAGACTTTTGGTTCAAATTGCTATTGCTCTTTAGGAGAAACATTTTGTAGTTTGGATCCTTTGCACTGATGTGACAAGGCTGATGCACTGTTACTTCAGCCATGTTCAATTTTACTGAGATTTTTAGTACTCTTCAATTTGCAGTTCAAGTACAATTATAATTTGAGTGGTCAATGATTGTACCAGATTCACATAACATTTCAACTGGCTTTGTTTTAATTTTGTAGCTCTGATTAGTTAATTGTGACATACACTACCGTCCATAAATATCCGGACACTTGGTTTCGTTACATAAAACATAGTTGAACTTTGTACGAAAGATATTTAGGGTTATCATATCATTTGTAATAATTATTATTATCTTTTTTGAGGTGTCATAACGTAATAGAATTAATTTTTAAGTACAAATTATACAATGAAAGTGTGAAAGTAAAATTCATGTCCAGAAGTACAAAGTCCAAATTTGTGAATCTAATGAAACGCTTTCGATTCTAAAAAAAATTTTCATTTCTACTGTGTTTCATTTCTATGGTGCAGAACGTATTCAGAGGGTTCTTCGATATGTTTCAAGTGTTTGTAAACTGTTGGTAGATGTTTAGGTTCCCTCAATGGAGATAAGAATGGAGGTAACGCTACGCACGCGACAGTTTCGGTTTAGTTCGTCTGTAGCTTCTTTTCCATCAAGATATGAGTTCCAAACGAGAATTATTAATCGAAAAACGTTCCAGTATTCTGACCTTCGCAGAAAAAAAATCGATTTTAGTTACTGTTGCAGATGCTTGAATAACTTTCATGCAACGCGAATGCATATTTCGCTTGTGTCCGGATACTTATGGACGGTAGTGTACCTGACAAATTATAGTTGAAGAGGTTAAGTTTGTACTAGTGGTCACTATAATAGGGTATACCATTTAAGTCGAACATTTAGATAATTCTTTAGGTTATTTATTACAGTGTAAAGTGACCTTGAAATTCATGAAGGTTTAGTTTATTAGTTTTCTTCGATCAGGAAGATGTTTAGCATGACTACCTATTTTACATAGTGAATCTAGATGTTCTTAAGACACACATATATGCACATATGCATATGTGTGTATATATAACATATTATACTTGTGTACATATATGTATATATATAACATATCATATGTATATACACATGTGTATATGTTACATATTATATGTACATACACATGTGTATATGTTACATATTATATGTATGTACATATGTGTATGTATGTACATGTGTGTATGTGTATAACATATTATACGTATGTACATATGTGTATATCTATAACATATTATGTGTCTGTACATATGTATAAAATTTGAAAGTATTACACACCAGTTTATACAGTACTATGTTAATGACATCGTTACGCTACTACCCGATAAAGCCCAGTGCAATATGCCATTATATCTCCAACAAAAGCCTTACTTTGAAGCTCGTGAATTTCTTCTGTTTTACCGGAGCTCTTTGTGCCGAACTTGCTCACAAAGCAGCCTTCCAAGGCGAGGGAACATTATTGAGCGCAATTATTCGCGCGAGACTTGATTGATATCGCCAGGAAGTAGAAGCTCGACAGCGAACAATCGAGCTGCCGTGTTTTATTTCTTTCAACGAAATGCTCTTTCTGTGGAACGTTGCATCCGAGAATAGTCTTTAAATTGATGATTTCGATGATCTTTTAGATTCGAGAACTGCCATTTTACAGATGGAGGAACTGTCTACAGTTTGCAGCTATTGTTCTACAATGCAGTATACTGCAGTATTCTGCAGTGCACTACTGTAGCAATATATTGCTATTCTTATTCACTACTGTATCCATATAGTACTATTTCAATTCACTACTGTATCCATATATTACTATTCTAATAACACAGTATGTCGGAAAAGTAACAGAACTTTTTAAATTTAAGAAAAACGCGCCATCTATTAAAACAATGTTATTTGAAAACAATATACCTCCCCTACAAAACAATCATTATTGAAATCGAACAACGAATTGTAAACTTATAGCGTTAATGCGACAGAACCTTCCGTCACCGTGTCACAAAATGGCGGGCAAGCGCAACAAATTGCTCGCGTTGAATATTGCGAGGATCTTATCAAAACAGCCAGACGAAACTGTACATTCCTGGAATCAATTGTAACTAGTGATGAGACTTGGTGCTTCAAGTATGAACCTCAAAGCTCCAAAGTGCTACGTGGAAATCTCCAGGCTCTCCAAAATCAAAAAATTGCGATTCCAGAAGTCCCGAGAGAAGACAATGTTAATTTGCTTTTACGATTCTAAAGGAATTATACTTCGGGACTTCGTTCCACAGGGACAAAATGTTAATGGCGAATATTATCTGGGTGTTATGGAACATTTGTAGAAGAGGATCGTTCGAGCGCTGGGAAGTTGGTTTCTGTTGCATGATAACGCACCATGTCACAGAACTACTCTCAAAAATACAAAATGGCACCAATGTAAGGCTAGTGGCGGCCTCTATGAATCTAGTGGAGACCTCTATAATTCCATCTGAAGGCCTACTTCAAAATTATTTGTAAAACGAGAGTTGAAACTACAATAGTTAATATTTTGTTAAAAGAAGATTATCGTTTCTTCAAAAGAGCTCTCTAAGAAATTTAATCCTTGCAAGAAAAAGTTTGAGTAATAAAATTAGATTGAGATCTCAACGTACCTTCTCAGTTACCAGCAACAGTATCTAGCACATAGTAACATCATTCAGATAGAACAAATAATTTTTTTGTTTACTACAAAGCGACCTTGAAATGACCTCGGTCAAACTTCGTGCGTAAACCATCGAAGTGGAAGTTTACATAAAAGCAACTGTGATAATAAAATAGGCGCCTGATTTGTCTATTATTTTAACTGGTATGTTCGATGAAACATACAGTTAGACAAAATTAATGTCGCAGTATGTTATGCAATGATTTCTTACAGAACGTAGTTTTCAAGTAGATTGCATCTTTGTATCTCGGTAAAATTGTCATCGTGTTAATGAGGATGAAGGAGAAGGAAAAACAAACCGTGTTCTCAAGTGTGTTTACTGTAATGGGGATACACAGGAGTCGGACGATGATAAAAACGTTAGGAAGTACCGGTTTGCCATTGCATAACGGATTGCCTCGAATTGCGCCTCTGGCGTTTTTCTTGTATACCTTCACGACTCATCTGTATACTCAAATTTTCCGGTTACTCATTATGTGAGTTACGGAGAATTATACTGAGACACGTGTCAGTGACATAGAAATCTAGAGACATATCCAGTGACAAGTCAAGGTGATAATCTTGAAGTTATTTTAAGATCTTGCAAGCTTGAAATATTTTATTAGACTATCATTTAATAGCAAATCGAATTTCCAAATTCTCAAGTTTCCATAACACTGCGTACCTGAATCTGTAGATCCTCAAAAAGCTAAATTCCCAAAGTTCTAAATCCCAAAACTCTTACATCTCTAAATTTTTAAACCCCCAAATACCTAAATCTTCAAATCCATAAACCTCCAAATCGCTAAATTTCCAACTTCAGTTCCCTAGGAAGAGGAAGTCTGAAAATATAGCCTATTTGTTCGTCGATTTCTATTCTTGTAACAGTCGTTCAAATTTCGCGGCACAAGGAAGTCGATGAGCCTCCATTGTTCCCGATGAATCTAATTAGTTTTATTGCGCCCGCTTCAGGTTAAATTCTTGGAAAATCAAGCTGAAAGAATATTGACCGAACAGCCTCGACTGATTCCTAGAAAATCCCATTTTTGACCATGTTTTCCGCGAGGAAATTCGCATAAGTTCGCGAGGCACGTAGTCGGGTCAAGGTAGAACGTGAAGCTTTGGTCTTGCTTGTTTCTCCTTCAGTTTCTGTTTTTACACCCCTAATCAAGGTGTTGGAAGCTATTATTGGTGTACTAGTGTGATACACCCATATACTTTATTACTTGCTTCAATCCTATGTACTATGTATACATACTGTGTACTGAGTATACTATATACTTTAGTGTACTACTATATTCTATATAGGGATGTATAAATACTCTTCTCACATATCTTTGTAGTAATAGACATTATGTACTACCATTCACTAGTTGCTATTATACAATTATATGCTATATGCGTATGCTATATGCATACTATATGCTTCAGTACACTATTACATTGTACTGTACGATAGTATTTTCTTGTTATAGCACTACATACTGCTACAAGCTACTATACTTTATTAAACATTCATATATGGTACCATACACCATTTGGTGAAGTATATTGATATTATATAATACACTACATAATGTCATATTACTACAAACTACTATTACTAAACCTTGCTATGTGGCACTATACACCACACACACCATATGGTACTCTATATTAATATTGTATACTACCATACATACTGCTTTACACTATTACATAATGCTATACGATACCATACTAATTATATATTGCTATATAATATTACACATCACTGAACACTAGTAGGCCACAATGTATGCCATTGTTCATTATTGTATACTATAATTGTATCATATACAGTGTCACTGCATACAGTACATACCTATAGTTGTTAGTCTGACAAGCAACTATTATATTCCATTATATTCTATCATGTACAGCATCGTTGGATACTATATATATATATATATATATATACCTATATTTGTTACTCTAACAAACAACTATTATATTCTATTGTATTCTATCATGCACAGT